TTATACCGATTCCACAGGCTTCTCCCTTCCACCCCAACCCTAGCATCTGGCACCCCTACAGCTATTCAGTCACTGTCACCGGGTCTCCTTCCCTCAAACTACCCCACCTCACCCCCAGCACCTTGCTTGAGCAACCAGGATGGAACCACACAAGCCTCGTGACAGGAGGGCACAGGGCTCCGGAACCCTGGGGCTGAGATACTACTTTCTGAGTTACAATACTAAATGGAAGCGAGACTCTGCAGGAACAATCAGACAAACGAACAAAATGGATGTTTCCCATTTGTAATAATTTTTAAAAATTTTAATGGAGCATTTCAGCGACATCATAAGGTCATAAAAGGTCTCCCTTGGCCCAACCCTGTGTTTTCTGTGGGGAAAGGCGCAGAGTTCTGGAGTAAATATTCAACTCCCACAGAGGAAGTTTCTCCAGCCCTGCTTCCTTTTCCTAAATCTTGGCTCAGAATACCCAGTCCAACTTGAGTAGCCATGGGTGACAGATAGGGACTGCCACTCCTTTGAGCCCCACCCTCACCACCACATTCCTTGCCCTGGGGTGGGGTGGGGTGGGCGTGGGGGCTATTTCCAAATTGCCTCTCACCAGTTGAGGTAAGGTAAAGGAATGGAGCGGATGGGTGACCAGAGAAAGTCCATAGCTTTCTCTAGGAAGAGTTGTTAGGCCTAGAGAGTCCTGGCTTCAGCTATCACCCTTGAACCTAATTAACCAACCTACCCAAAGTCACATAGCCAACAACTGACCCAGGGCCTGGAGGCAGGAGGTTATTTACAAGACTGTTTTAGGCAGAAGTTAGAATGTCCACTTGCCTCCCAACTCCCCCACCCTCTTAACTATATGAAAGAGGCCCATCATGCTGGTGTGGCTCAGTGGACTGAGGTGTCCTCCCGTGGAATGGGAGGTCCCAGTTCCATTCCCAGTCAGGGCACATGCCAGGGTTGCAGGCTCAGTCCCCAGTAGGGGGCATGCAGGAGGCAGCCGATTGATGTTTCTCTCTCACATCGATGTTTCTCTCTCTCTCTAAAAAAATATCAATGAAAAAACATTTAAAAAAAATAAAGCGGCCCATCATGACCCCAGAGAACATTCTGTCACGGAGACCTGTAATGTGGGGACAGGGCAGTAAGACATGACATCATGAGTCTCTACCTAGCCCTGGCCAGTTTGGCTCAGTGGTTAGAGAGTCAGCCCATGGATCAAAGACTTGTGGGTTTGATTCCGGTCAAGGGCATGTACCTCAGTTGTTCAATCCCTGGCCCTGGCCCTGGCCCTGGTCCGGGTTGTGTGGGAGGTGGCCCATCCATGTGCTCTCTCACACAGATGTTTCTCTCCCCGCCCCCCCCACTCCCTTCTACTCTATCTGAAAATCAATGGAAAAATATCTTCAGGTGAGGATTAAAAAAACAAAAAAGAGTCCCTGCTTATCTGTGTTTTGTGGTTCCAGGCTCCAGTAAAGCTGTCACTGCCTTTATGGTTTCTGGAGGTACACAGGTCCTCACCAGGCTTCCCAGACCTTCCTTCATCTAACAACCCCCGCCCCCTCTACCCTGGATTCCATTCACACTCTGTGTATATAGTCTTGGAAGGGTTTCTGTCCACTTTCTTATGCATAAACCTTTCTTTGACCTCAAAGCAAGGGGTACTTGAGAGCCATCTCCTCTGTAGCTTTCAGGAACAGCTAGAGCCCTCACACAGAAAGAATCCACATCAGATAGGAGACGAGAGCAGTATTGTTCCAACTGTAGATCACAACCTGGATGTGGATCATAAAATCAATTTAGGTGGTTATGGTCAGCACCTTTAAAAAATGAAACAGGCCCTGGCCGGTTTGGCTCAGCGGTTAGAGCGTTGGCCTGCGGTCTGGAGAGACCCAGGTTCGGTTCCCGCTAAGGGCACGTACCTCGGTTGCAGTTTGTCCCCGGCCCTGATTGGGTTGTGTGGGTGGCGGCCACTCGATGTGTCCTGTTCGCTTCGATGTTTCTCTCTCTCTCTCTCTCTCCCCCTCCCACTCTATCTGAACAAAATATCAAAGAATATCCTCAAGTGAGGATAAAAAAAAAAAGAAACAGAATACAATAAATACAATAGAAAACATCAGAGTGCATGCATAGAGCAAGTATATGTACTGTCCCCATGAAACTTATTTCAGTTATTTCACAATATAAAATGTGTTTCTTTCTGTGGGTCACTGGACTAAAGAACACTGGTTAAGACATAGAATAAGACTCATACAGCAAACACATAAAGGCTGCCTGCTCCTTGTCAGGCACTATGCTAGGCACAAGAGACCCAATAATGGATAATACAATCTAGCCCCGGCTGGTTTGGCTCAGCGGTTAGAGCGTCAGCCTGCGGTCACGAGAGACCCGGGTTCGGTTCCTGCTAAGGGCATGTACCTTGGTTGCAGTTTGTCCCCGGCCCTGGTTGGGTTGTGCGGGTGGCAACTACTCGATGTGTCCCTTTCACGTCGATGTTTCTCTCTCTCTCCCTCCCACTCTATCTGAACAAAATATCAAAAAATGTCCTCGGGTGAGGATAAAAAAAAAAAAATACAATCTCAAGTCTCAATCCATCTTCTGGTTGGGAAGCCAATAAGCAAACTAATAGTTGCAAGACATGATGCTTAGTGCTTTGAGAAAGTATGTGGGGGTCTGTAAAGGCCTGATGTAAGGGTGGGTATCTAGGAAGGCTTCCCAGAGAAGGTAATGTAGTCTGAGTTCTTAGCAAGAAAAGACAATGACTAGGATCTTCTAGATCCTATTGATAGGAAAGGAACTATGGTCAAATGTCAAAAGTTCTAGTCTTCAAGTCTAAAGACAGCTTCTAGTCCTGCCTCTTCTTCTTAACAAGCTGTGAGACCTTACGTTGAGTCCATTAACCTTTCCAGACCCTGTTTCCTCATCTATTAGATGGGCATTTCTGTTGTCAACCCCAAAGATGAGAGCATATGAGAGTACTTTGTAAACTACAAAAGAGGGAGGGATTGCTTCTAACCAGGGCCGGGGACAAACTGCAACCAAAGTACATGCCCTTAGAGGGAACCAAACCCAGGTCTCTCTGGACCACAGGCCAACGCTCTAACCACTTAGCAAAACCAGCCAGGGTGGGATTGCTTCTATGAATAAGGAAATAGAAGTGCAGAGAGGTGAAGTGTCCTGTCCAACACTATATAGCTGTGGGTAGCATGCCCTCCTCAATCCTTAACCCCCTACTCCTGCCTACTCCTCTTCCCACTGCAACTGACCTATCTTGCAAGAGGGTGGGGGCAGGACCCAAAAAGTCCCCTACAACCTGACTATTGAAGATTTACCTTAAGAATTAAATTGTTTTGTCCGGCCAGTGTGGCTCAATGATTGAGTGTTGACCCATGCACCAAGAGGTCACCGGTCTGATTCCTGGTCAGGACACATGCCCAGGCTGTGGGCCTGATCCCCAGTGGGGTGGCATGCAGGAGGCAGCCAGTGATGTTCTCTCATCATCAATGTTTCTATCTCTCTCTCCCTCTCACTTCCTTTCTCTCTCAAACCAATAAAGGAAAAAGAAAATAAAAGAACTATATTGTTTTAACTATATTTTGATAATGATGGGAGGTAAATAAATATGTGAGAATTCATTCCTTTCCCCTTCTGTTAATGAATTGGGATCTACCCAAACTCAGTGTTTAAAGTTATATAAGCATCATTCAGATCCTCTGTAACAGCTTTCATTTTGGAAAAAAAACCCAGCATTTCCATTAAAATGGTGTTATGTAAAAAGGTTTTGCGTATGTATGGGTAGGAACAGAAGGAACAGGTACACATGAGCACTGTTAAGGCACACAGAGACCAGAGGGGAGCAGGTATTTTACAGTACCTGGCAAGTTAAGATGTGACTTACTTGTCCTCCTACCCCCAGTGAGACCTAGAGTATGTTGGGCTGTGGGAACTGCAGCAGGAAGGCCATCAGCTACCTCCACTCCCCAGGGACCAGAAAAGTCTTGACCTTTCTGGAAGCCCCTTCTTTGGCAGGCAGGGTGTGTGCTATTGAATGGTAGACTGGTAGGGTTGGAAGCAGTTCAGAAGTCACCTCACTCTTCATGGCTCTTGCCAGCCTTGACTTTAACAATTCCCTTCCTCCCAGGGAAATCCACGCCACCTGTGATTAGATGTAGCTCACTGAAAAGACCTGGTATAGAGCTGAAATTTGCTGAAGCTCCTGTTTCTTGGGGATTAATGCATATCCCTCATCTTTAGTCATAGGATGTCCAGGAGCCATAGTCAGCGGGAGGGTGCCTGGGGCCTAAGAGCAAGAGTGAGGCCAGCAACAGTCCACAGACCTGAAGCTCTTCCCTTGGAGACCTCCATCCATCTAAACTGAGGCTGGTACTAGGGGGAGAGGGGGAGTGAAGAGGACAGGGCTGGATTAGGAGGGAGAGAAAGGTGAAAACCCAGAATGCAAATATGTGGCTTTGACCGCATCCCTGCATATCAAGTCTCATTTGAAGTATGGGGGTCAGTTCCAGCGCTGATACTCCGGAATTCTGCATCCCTCTTTTAAGATTCTATGGTTGTCCTCTTTTATGTGAAATAGTGGGTCCACGATTCGAGAGCCAAGCAGGAAGTAAGAAAACTGCCCTGAATCCTTCCATCATATCCAGACCTGGGTTAGGCTTCGCAGCTTGCCCTGGTTAACCGAGAAGACACTCACAAACAGGAACACCCCAGCACCCAGTAGGGAAACGTGAGCTTTGGAGTGTCCTTTTAAGTTGTTGGGAAGGGGGTGTGGCCGAGGAGACTGGGAGGCCGGAGTCGGGCGAAAGGGGAGTGGCCCGGGGGCGTGGCCGTAGCGACTGGAATGTTGTTGGGTCCTTGCACCGCATAGTAAGGAGGGGGCACGCCCCTTTTCTCCGAGAGGGCCAATTGGAGCGCCGGAACGGTTTCAAGTCTCCCCTGCCAGCCAGCCCGCCCGCCACCCCACCCCCCTCGGGGATTCGCTTTTTCCGTAACAAAATAGCAAAGCTCGGGATGTTCCGCAGCCCCGGCTTCTTACTGACAGAGGGTCCCGGGGCCTAGGACGGTGCTCCGCAACGTGAGGCGCCAGTGGGCCGTGGAGAGGCTGAGTCCAAAGCCCGGAGGCGCGCGGGGGTGGGCGCTGCAGCCGCGGGTTGTTTATCTGGAGTACGGAGGGGAGGGGGGAGCCTGGAAACCGCCCCGTGTCCCATTTCCTCCTCTTGTTTTCGCTCCGGATTCTCCATGTTGGACCCAAACTGAGGAGCCCGGAGCTGCCGCCGGGGGATCGGGGCCGGGGGCACCCGGGGGAGCTGCTGCCCGGGCCGCCCGCTCTCTGTACAGGCCGCCTCCCTTCCCGGCCCAGGGAGGGAACGAGAGCAGGGATGTGAACAGCTGTGGGAGTCCGAGTCTCGCGAGCAGGAGCCGGAGCGGGCCCCCGCCCAGGCCCCCCAGCCCAGCCCAGCCCAGCCTGCGCGCCCGCCCGTCCTCCCGCCCAGCCAGCCCGGGCCCACGGGATTGTTAGATGGAACACGGCTCCATCATCACCCAGGCGCGCAGGGAAGACGCCCTGGTGCTCACCAAGCAAGGTAGGGGCAAGCAACTTCCCAAAACTTTGAGTCGCCCCCGATCGGGGAGGGGGCTAACAGCCCCGAAACCGAGTCCTGGCCCCCGATCTCTCGAGGCTCAGAACGGGGGATTCCGACCGGAACCCTGAGTCCATTCGCCCCGCGTCTGGGTCCGCACTCAGACCCCCGTGGGGGTGGTGTTGGCCCCGGGCTCCGGGTTCCTGAGGGGGAGGGGCGTCATCTGCGCAGCTGTCACTCCGCCCTGTACCCCCTCCCCCCGGGAGAGAGACTGAGGGGGGGAGTGCTGGAACCACGAGTCCACCCGCGTCCGTCCCCTCTAGAGTTGGGGGGTGGGTCGTCACTTTCCCGCACTACTACGCGCGCTGCCCTAGGACCTAGGGGAGAAGGGTAGGGAGGGGGATGGAGGGGTCCCGGACAGGAATGGAGCCGGGACTGGAGTCCAGCACTTCCCAGGCCCCCGCCTCCCCCCCTCACCCCCACCCCTAAGTCGCCCAGGCTGTGGGCGGTAACGGCGTCCGGCGGGACTTGGGACCAAGTTCACAGCCTGGAGGCGGGGGCGGCCGTGGTGGGGGAGGGGCCGAGCCCTGGCGGACCTGACCTGGCCCGTCCGCGGCCCTGCGCTGGGCCCCGGACCTCGGCGGCGCTGGGCTCTCGCACCGCCGCCTCCTGGCGCTTTCGCCGAGCAAACCAGCCCGACCCTGAGGCTCGGCCTGAGCCCCTCCCTGCCGGGTGCGCTTTCCCGGGGCCGCCTCTGCACACAGAGCGGCGTTTGTTTAGCCCGGGAGCGGTGTCCCTGGTTACATAATTCGCCGGGTGGCATTAGACCCGGCGTGTTTCTGAATCGCGCAGCGAAAAAGTGCGAGTTCTCTGTGGGCAGCGGCTCGCGGCCCCCGCCTTCCTGAGGGTCAAGTGGAGATGCGACGGGGCTAGCGGGCAGGCCCATTTTGGGGTGGGCTTGGGGGATGGGGCGGGGCAAAGATTGGGACCCGAGGGTGGGTTCTCTCTTGAATTTAGCCATGGTGGAGGCCCCGAAACTTTCCCCCTCCTCAGCGTACCTCTTCGGGCCTTGAGAAATATGTCTAAAACAGTGGACAGAATTTCCGAGGGGACTAAGGACTAGCGTCATTTTTTTTCTGGAGAACTTCTAGACTGGGGCCACCTGGCCCTGAGCTGGGGACAGCACGCTCTTGGGACCAAATTCCCTGGTCCGTCCCCCCCCCCCCCCCACACACACACCCAGAACAAGGCGTACAGTGCTAGTGTTGCAGTGGAACACATTAAGGCCCAAAGCCTGGTGGGGGGCCAGCAGTGGGGTCTCCTTGTTGCCCCAACTCCACCTATTTGGTAACATTAGTCAGCAGGTCACTTAATTCGTGGGGTTCACAGCCCCAAGGAGGTCCTCCAACTTGCCTGGGGCAAAGAAGCTGGGGTGGTGGTGTCATCCTTTCCCAAATTCCCCGTGTGGGGGGCAGTGTATGCTTCTTGTATCACTGGTTCTTCCTTAAATAAGCCTGTCCTTAGGAAGGGGAGAATCTTGCCTACTCAGATCCCAGCCCTTCCAAAGACCCTGACTCCCTGCTTCCCTAGATGCATCACTAACCAGGCTGTGTGACCCAGGCTGCAATTTCACCCCTCTGCTTGCTGCTCAGCTGTGCTGAGGGTAGAAGAGGGAAGGCTTTCCATGTTGATAACTTCACTCCTGACTCTTCACTCTCTGTCCAACCACACTCCAGGAAAGGACTCCAAGAGCTAGCCAGAGCTGAAGAAATTTGGGTGTGGAAGGATTCCAAAGGTAGCAGTGTTGATAAGAAGGGGGCAGAACAACCTGTACTTCCCCACTCAAGTTCTCTCTTCCAATAGGGGCTCAGGAGGGTGCCTTGCACCACACCAGGAGTGAGGGCAAGTTGGACTGCTGAAGGGACATCTTACAGCTCAGCTCTACAGTTCATCCATCAGAGCAAACAGCAGGGAAGAGAATAAATGAGAGCAGAAAGCAAAGCAGCTGGCTTCTTGACAGTATTTAGTTGTTGGTGCTGGTTGGAGTTACGTTTTCATTTCCTTTGTTTATGTGGCTTGTCCTTCAGATTTATCCCTGGTGGAATCTGATTTCTTAAGCCAGCAGCCATGGGTCTCTCTCTCCCCCATGTAATTTGACTGCATTCCAGAGAAGGCATACTTTCTTCCTGGGCTGCTTGGGCAACCAGCAAGCCAAATTTCTGAGTCCCTCATCATTTACAAATAAATCCTGCATCTTTTTAAAAAAAAAAAAAAAATGGAGGTAGAGAGCAAATGTTTTAATTAGCTCCTTTAAGAGCTCCTTGCCAACCCCTCCTCTCCATAGCACCACATCTCTAGGCCCTCCTCCCTTTGGAAAAAGGGAATGGAGGGTGAGGCAATTTATTAACAAATACATTTATAGAAAACAAATAAATTGCTCCTAGTTTGAGTGTTTTTTGAATGAATTCGTTGCCATTGAAGGGTTGTTTGTTTGTTTTTTAGCATTCTTTTCTCAGAGCTGGCTGCATGTGTTGATGATTCAAAAGTAATTACAGTTGGGGAAGTAGAAGAAAGTTGCTGAAAGCATTGATGATAAAACGGCCAAAACGGAATCATCTTCCCAGACAGATGAAATGGCTCCCTGGTACCTACAGCAAGGACAGGGTTGTGTGTAATATCCAGTGTAAAATAGAAAAGTTTTATCCGTTTGACCAGAGAATGGCCATTTATTGCAGCCCCATATAAAGGTGTCATCCCATTGCTGGGAGATTGTACCGTGGGCTTTGGGGTTAGGTGGGGAAAGCCAAGGAAACAGGCCACCTTTGTAACCTCCCAGTGTGAAATGAGAGGGTGGAGGCAGCCTCTTCCAGAGCTCAAAGTGACTCACAGGCCCTTTGGGGGAGTCAGGACCTTTGAGACCTTTTTTGTTTTCCGTGAGACCCAGTGGCTCTTCCTTTCAGGCAGAGGAAGATTGATGCCTTGGGTTGTCTTCTCAGATGTGCAACTGAACAGGTTCCGGTAGCTGACCATCCCTAAGAATTAGGGTGGTGGCAGGTTTTTCTAGCTCTTGCTTTCCTCTCCCCATAAGGAAGAAATTCTGCCTTATTCTCTCTTGAAAAGCTTAGGCTCGGTCTTATTGGGGCTTTCTTCCTTAGCTTGCTCTTGTGGGTCCACCATGCCTGTTTGTAGCTGGCTCCTCCTGCCCCTCTGGTTCCTCTCCCTCCTAGCCCAGTCTTGGCCTCTTGGTGGTTCCTGTGCCTCCTTTGGAGTTCTCCCCTCCCCCTTTCTTGGAGTGGGTAGTGGCCTGTGGGGTGATTTGAACTTCTGTTTGCTCAAGGGAGTACTGCTAACTCAGCAATGAAGTTTGAAATGCCTAACATCATGGGGCAGGGAGTTTGCAGTTCTGCTACTGAATTTGACTTAGAGTTTTCAACTGAGCAAGACTTAGGAATTGCTGTGAAAAACCCTTCCTGAGATGGCAAGAGAGAATGGTGTTCCTGTCTCCTTCCTTCTCAACTATAGGAGTATTAAAGAAACTGGTTGATAGAGAGGTTCCTGTTCATCCTCTCTGTGGGAACTTCCGAATCGCTTGTGATCTTGAATTTTGTTAAACTAGTAAATGCTGCCCTGGCCAGTTTGGCTCAGCGGTTAGAGCGTCGGTCTGCGGTCCGGAGAGACCCGGGTTCGGTTCCCGCTAAGGGCACGTACTTTGGTTGCAGTTTGTCCCCGGCCCTGGTTGGTCGTGCGGGTGGCAGCCACTCGATGTGTCCCTTCACGTCGATGTTTCTCTCTCTCTCTCCCTTACTCCCTCTCCCTCCCCCTACTCTATCTGTACAAAAAATGGAAAAATATCCTCGGGTGAGGATAAAAAAAAAACTAGTAAATGCTGTATTAATCATGTTTCTAGGCAAGGTGAATTGATGCTCCCAGCCATTATTTGGATAATTTATTAATAGAAGTGTTCATAACTAAGTATGGGAAAGAAAGGCAATATGTAATTACATACATATTTATATGCAAATATATCCCTTACTCTCCCTCCTCACTTTCTTCCTGCTAGCTTTTGGATAATTTGGGGATCTTGTCTATTCCCATTTTGGAATAGGTAGTAGTGTGTGTGTGTGGGGGGGGGGGGGTTGATGCAGGGGCAGCAGTTTAAGTGTCCATTGTTACTTCAAAGAGTCCTTCCAGGAGCAAAATTGGTTGCTTCAGGCCTGAGTGCAAATCCCTGCTTTTCCTGTTCACAGTGAGACTTAGCAGATCTCTTAAGTGTTCTGAGCGAGTTATCTGTAAAGTAGGAGTGTTGATATCTACACGTCTGTAATGTCTGGTACTTAGTAGGTGATTGATAATGTTGACATCCTTTTTTTACACAGCTAGACCACTGCTACTCTGTATCTCCATTCCCCCCAGGACATAATGCAAACAGCACACAGTCACGTGGGTTTTATTGTTAAAGACAGGTGGCCAGGGGTCAGAGGGGACACTGATGTGGGGGCTTAGGCCTTCTGAAAGGATCAACCTCATGACCTTGCTTCACAGACCCCTTCTTGTGCCAGTGTGACTTGGGGTGAGATTTTATTGGTACTAATGCGAGTAGCATGTGCCTTAGGACTTCTGCAGTTCTGTCTAGGGCCTGGGCATCTGGGGGTGGGAGAAAGCCAGGAAGCTGTGCACGTCCTATGAAGAGTCTCTGAAGTCTAAACCTTCTGAGCAGATGCTCAACCTCTCAGATAGGAACATAATGAAGATTTGAGACACCTGTGCTGCATTCCCTTACTGTGTGCATTTGTTTGAAGAATTAGTGAATCCAGTGAGATTCATATTTCTTTTAGGGAATTTTGGTAACGAGAGAAAAATAAACAGGTTTTGAAGAGAAATAGATGTTCTTAAACTATGTCTTTGCTGCTGTGGTTTTGGGATACAACAGGGAGAAAGCACAAAAAACAGCAAAAAACTGCTTCTCGTTCTTTTTCAGTCCAGCCTTCTCAGGAAGCACAGAA